TTGGTCAGGGGATCCATCATGGAGTTACCCAGGCCGGGAAGGAGGCAGAGAAGTTTGGTCAGCATGTTCATTATGCCGCAGGGCAGGCTGGGAAGGAGGGAGACAAAACAGCCCAAGGTGTCCATCCTGGGGTCAACCAGGCTGGGAAGGAGGTGGAGCACTTTGGCCAGGGGGTCCACCATGGGGTTAATGAGGCCTGGAAGGAGGCAGAGAAATTTGGTCAGGGGGTCCACCATGCTGCTGGGCAGGCTGGGAAAGAGGGAGAAAAAGTGGTCCAAGGGCCCCATCATGGAGTTACCCAGGCTGGGAAGGAGGTGGAGAAGTTGGGCCAGGATGTTCACCATGCCGTTGAACAGGCCGGAAAGGAAGCAGACAAAGTGGTCCACAATGGGGTCAACCAGGCTGGGAAGGAGGCAGAGAAATTTGGCCAAGAGGTCCACCATGCTGCTGGCCAGGCTGGAAAGGAAGCGGAGAAGTTTGGCCAAGGGGTCCACCACGCTGCTGGCCAGGCTGGGAAGGAGGCAGACAAGTTGCAGCAGAATGTTCATAATGGGGTCAACCAAGCCGGCAAGGAAGCCAACCAGCTGCTGAATGTAGGTGAACAGCGGTGGGAGAGGGGGAAACAGGGCTAGGGGAGGGGGAGGTTAACCCCTTGGGATGTTTGGGGAGTCCACGTAGCCTTCATTTGGTGAAAGAAGCTTAGGCAGCTCTGTAACCATGTCCTCCTCCTTCCTCCATCTCCCTTACAAAGGAGCTGGTGGTCAGCTGGTCAGACGGATGAAGCCACCTTATCCGCAAAGCCCTCTACCAGACAGTGTGGACTGGATCCAGTCCCACCTTCAGGGAGCTGCCCTCCTAGTTAGGGAGGTCTACAGGGAGGAACACGAAGCCTCTCCTGGGGAACAGGAAACAGTTACTGAGCCAAGAGCTATTACAGTGCAATCAGCGTGCGTGTTGAGAAAACCAAGAGCATCAGAGTGAGTGTGAGGAATAGCTTTTGGAGATCAGCCCTATTCTGTTTAATTTTCATAATGAGCCTCTGAGGTAGTGAGGGTGAGGATGCTGACTCCCTGATTCTCAGATAAGGAAACAGAGCTCAGCGAGGTTTAAGGGCTCTGCCAAGATTGTGTGGCTAGTACACGGCTTTGGTGAATCAAAGGTCAGGGTTCTTTCTCTTCCTCCACACTGTCCCATCAGAGGAGGGCTCCTGGAGGATTTCTGATCCCCATTTATGGAGAGGGAATAGTTACTGGAGGCTGGGAGAGGCAAGCAGTGCCATGCACAGTAGAACAGGCACGAAGGGGCGGGGGAGTGGGGAGTGTGGGGTGGAGGCTTGGGGAATAGAAGCCTGCCTGCCTCCATTCCCCCCTGTCCAGTCTCCATCAGGAGTCTTGGGGATACCATCTTGAGGCCTGGCCCAGACCTCAAAGCCCATAGCCACATGGTGGTGGGTGGGGAGGAAGGGACTATGCAGACAGTGTGCACAGTAGGGGAAGGGCTCTGAGTCAGAAGGCAGGATTCACCAGGTAGGGGCCAGGAGAGGGCTGTTTGTTACAGGACTCAGGCTGGCAGCAGTAGAGTGGGGGTAGGGGCACTGCTGAGTGTCTGGGGACAGGGTTCAGGACAGTTAGGGGTCAGGCTAGAGTGTGTGCAGAAGGGGTAGATCTGAGATCAGAGCCAAGGTTACACTCTGGTCCTGGTATTTGCGTGGGTCCTCTGGGTTCCCTTCCAGTCAGGCCCCTTCACAGTGACTGAGCGCATCTCATGAACTGAAATCAAAGGGAATGGGGGGAAGACTGGTCAGGAGGGGCAGCCGTCCTTTTTGGCTTTTCTTCCCATCTCTCACAGAATTCCCACAGCAACCTGGGCTTGGGGTTTTCTCTCTGGTTGATGAGGGCGCCGGGGGTTAGCCTATGCCTCCTGCCCCAGCCCCAGTCACCCCAGAGGGCAGCAGGTCACTGGGGAAAAGGAACTTGGGAGACCCTCAAGGGCCGAGGGGTTGTAATGACGGTCTGGGCTTTGTCCACAGGGCAGTCAACACGGCGGTTCCACGGGCCAGCATGGAGGGGCCACAACCACAACCTTAACGTCTGGAGTAGGTCTCCCGGGCACGGCGTGGACTGGGAGGTGTGGGGGAGTGGAGGCCCTCCTAGGGTGGTGGTGGGGCACATGCTGGGCACTGACTCTCTCATCCTTGAATTCCAGGCCTCGGTCAACAAGCCCTTCATCAACTTCCCAGCTCTGTGGAGGGTGAGTGCCCGCCTGGCGTCCGTCTTGGGAGATATTGTTACACACCCCACCCACCCCCCACCCCCACCATAGCCCATTCACAGGCAACGTCACTGAGGACAGACCTCAGCCTTTGCAGAGACAATCCAACCTGCTGGCCGGCTCTGGTCTTCCCTTTCTTCACCTGCTCTTTGCCCTTCGCATCCTGCTTTCGTCTTTCGGGTGCTTTCCATTCTCGCCGAGGCAAACATGAGCTGGAAGAAAAGACCTCCAGGGGTCCACGTGCATCTGGGCGCCAGTGGGGGAGGGCCTGCTGAAACATCCCCTCCATGTGCCCATCCTCTCTTCTCATCCTCTTCCCTCCGGTTCTTACACCTAAACCCGCTGTGACCCCGCTGCTGCCTCGCAGCACTGTGCTGGCTGGTGGGAACCTGTGGCTCTGCCCTTTCCCCGGCTGACAGGGTTCCCCCAGGATAAAGGCTCCTGTGGGATCCTGGTCCTCACCCTGGGCCCGAAGTCCAGTCCCAGCTCTTCTCTTTGCATTTAGTACATCAGCTGCCTGAGCCTGGGGCAGAAGGGTGAGGGTGGATCAGAGCCCTGTACCCAAAGGCACCCCATCATTTACTCTTGGGCTATCGGGATGGCAGGGGACCCTCTGAGGCAAAGCAGACAAAGCTTCTCCTGGTACCTCTGCCTGGGAGGGCTGGCTCCCTGTTTTTCCCAAATCTAGGTGCCACCTTCCTTAAGCTATTCCCTAGAATATAAGCAATTCCTGGGCCAGAGTAGCCAGTTTCCCTCTCCTTTCTCTCGGGGAGAGGTCTCGGTCCCCCGTGACCGTGTGCCTGCATTCACTCCCTCTCCCTTCTCTCTTCCAGAGCGTCACCGACATCATTCCCTGAACTGAGGCACTGGCCTTGCTGAGCAGACTGACGTTCCTGTTGTCCCATCAGCTGAGATGACCTGGAGGAGCTAGGGGTGGGGGCTGGACTTCTGGAGCCCCCTAAGGGGGCTCTACTGAGACTTGTGAATAAATATGACACACTGTACTCTCACCATGGGTTTCTGTGCTCCCTAGGGAGGGATCAGTGGGGGAGGCTGGTCTTTTCTCCTCTTGCTCCTCTGCTGAAGGAGCTGGGGGTCTGATGCACAGGATGGGGGGAGCTGGAGATTTCAGGCTGGTCAGATCTGAGAGGGCGGTTCCAGGGACAAGCCCTGCTTCCCTGGTGTGCAAAGTTCCTGCTCGGCACCAGGAGGAGCATCGGGCAGGGCCAGTCATGGGGGCAGAAGCACCAGGGAAGAGAATGGCAGGAACCTAGGTGGAGCCTGAGGGGACAGCATCCTCATTCGGGGACGTGGCCCAAAGGAATGACAATAGCGACCTGTGTTGACTGGGCAGTTTCAGCCTGCATGGCTCCCTCCTGGGCGCTTCCCGTGCATGACATCACTGAAGTCTCCCAGCCACCCAGGGAGGTAAGAGGTGCTGTTCTTGCTCCATCTGATAGAGAAGCATGTGGAGGCTCTCGCGGGGTAAGAAATAAGACCAAGGTCACAATGGGGTCGGCTTGGTGGCACAGCAATTAAGTGTGCACCCTCCTCTTTGGTGGCCCGGGGTTCGCAGGTTCAGATCCCGTGTGCACACTGACGCACCGCTAGTCGAGCCATGCTGTGGCAGCGTCCCATATAAAGCAGAGGAAGATGGGCACGGATGTTAGCCCAGGGCCAATCTTCCTCAGCAAAAAAACAAAAAAAAAAACCAAAAAAAAACAGAGGAGGATTGGCATCAAATGTTAGCTCAGGGCTGATCTTCCTCACTGAAAAAAAAAAGACCAAGGTCACAGTCAGTAAGCGGAGGGAGAAACAGCCTAAGAGCTATGAAGGATACTCGGAGACTTCTCCTGTTTGGCGTCAGTAGGGAGGCGAGGCAGTGAATAAACAGAGGAGAGACACATGGGAGATCCCCGAATGGGGAGGAGGCCCACTGACGGCAGTGGGGAAGGCCCCTCTACAATGACAGGAATGGTGACACCAAAGGCCCAGGTCTCAGATCTGCGGATGACTCACAGCCCAGAGGGATACCGAGAACCACTACTGTACACTGAGGACTTACTACGTCCCGGGGACCGTGGGAAGAACGGTTTATACTCCGTAACATGTAAGCCTCCCGCACCCTGAAGGCAGAAGTCCTCTTATGATCTCCTGTGTATGGATGGGGAAACTAGGCTCAGAAGGGCCAGGGCAAGTGCCCGGGTAACCCGTGAGAGAGCAGCAGGCCTGACTATGGCCAGAACCTGGCCTCTCACAGTTGCCTATAAAGTCTCTAGAACACATGCCCCCCCCGGCCTGGTGCTGGGAGCCCCACATTCCACTCAGGACTGCGGACATGAGCAGCTTACTTCCCCTCCCAGGGCCACCATTCCCTCCTCTATAAAGGGGGCGGGGTGTCCGCAGGGGAGGACTGCAGCACGGCTTCCAGCTCCAAAATTCCATCAATCATGGGACCAAAAACGGCCCTTGGGGAATTCACAGGCCTCCTGGGGCAACAAGGCACATAAACAGAATACAGAAACAAATACAAAGAGATGCATCAATGAGAACCAAGGGACACACCGGGGAGGGGCGGGGCTGGCATGTGCACAACGAAGGTGATGTTCCTGACACTTTTGTTCACTGCATTTTTCCTTATTTGTAGAATACCATCTTTTTTGTTGGTGTTGCTGAGGAAGATTAGCCCTGAGCTAATATCTGTACCAATCTTCCTCTATTTTGTTTCTGGGACGCCACCACAGCATGGCCACCACTGGGTGGTGTAGGTCCACGCCAGGGAACCGAACCTGGGCCGCCAAAGTTCAGTTCACCGCTCTTAACCACTAGGCCACGAGGCTGGCCCTAGAATGCCTTCATTTTTATCACATATGTTCCTTCCCTCCCCTGCAATATTTTAATTTGAAAATATTTCAAACATACCATAAAGATAAAAGAATTTCACAGCGAATCCCTGTGCCCTGATACTTAGAGGCTCCCAGTAACAGTTTGCTGTGTTCGCTTGCTCACACATCTGTCCATCTAGCCACGTAGCAATACATTTTTGATGCTTTTCCAAACAAACTGCAGACGTGTTTCCTGCATTTTAATAAGTAGAAGCTCTCATCCACATCACACATTTATCAAGCGTCTTCGCTGTCCTGGACGTTGTTCATACGGCTCGGAGGAGCCCCTTCTGAAGGAGAAGAGCCAAGGGACTCATTCTTCCATAAAGTAAAGCTTTCATTGGCTCTATCTGTAAGCCCACTGTCTTGCTGGGGTGGCTCGGACGGGGATCCTGAAAGTGCCAAAGAGGTATGGGACAATCATGTGTGCGGGGGTCCATCCTGGGAGGCTTCTGGAAAAGAAGAGCTTAGCCGGTTTTGAAGGGTAACTGGGGCAGGGCTCACGCCTGCCTCGGGGCCCGGCGTGCTGTCCTCTGCTGGGAATATTCTCCGCGCCCTCTGTCCCTGCGTCAGCTCCTCACCCTTCAGCTCTCAGCTGCCTTCACCACCCAACCCAGAGATTCCCTCTCCCTGCACACTGGGCTTTGTCTTCATAGTGCTTACGATAACTTGTAACTATATCTTTATGTTTCATATCCATTGTCCTCCTAGACTAAGAGGGTCAAGAGGAGAGGTCGGGCCAGACACAAATGTCTGGCAACTGGCAGAGGCAGGGCTACTGGCTTGAGCAGACGGGGAAGGCCGTGGAGCAAGTGTGGGGTCTGAGCCAGAAGGAGGCACCTGGGACAGACAGGTGGGGCTAAGCTAGGGAGTGAGGGAGAGAGGAGGGCCTCTCTGCAGGTGCGGAAGAACAGGGAGAGGAGTTTGGGTGGGCCCCTCACGCCATCTTTGATTAGGTGCCCGCTGTCTGTGCTGAGCACTTACAGCCATGATTCACTCCATTCGCACCTGCCCACGAGGCGAGGACGTGATTACTCCCTTAGAGATGACGAAGCCCAGGCTCCGAGCCGGGAGAAAGGTCCCTGGGGTCACCCAGCTAGCAGATGGTGACAGCTGGCTTCTATTCAGAGCCCTTCCCTGTGGTTGACCTCTGCTGGTGAGGGGCTACTTCAAAATCAGTCCTGCTTTTGGCGGAAAATTAAGCTTCTCCTTCTGAAAGGAGCTGTGTGTGCATGTGTCTGTGACTCAGAACTGAACAACTGCCAAGAAAGCGCTCCAGCCACGCCGACACGGCCGACACTGCCAGGAACGTGCACCGAGCGCTCCCGTGGGCCAGGCGCTGTGCCGAGACCTCTGCACGTGTCACCTCAGTAACTCTCACAATATAAATAAATATAACAATAATAATCAGCCTTAACACTGATTCGAGGTGACCCCTCAGGTCCAGGGGGCAGTTTTTCCCAGAAGCTAGAACACAGAACTCCTGGTGACATGGGAGGATTCAGGTGGTTTGTGCACAGGGCTTTGAAGCAGTTTGAACCGCACAGTGAGAAACTTACTCTGTTCTCGATTTTCTTGGAAGCTTTCTGATTAAGTTAAAAAGGAAGACTGGCTTTCTGTGCTGGTGTGCCTCGAACATCTCTCTCACACTTGCTAATCTCCCTTTTGAACAAGGAGGGCACAGGACCTGGAGCCAGCCATCATGTAACGCCATGGGGGCTTCTCATTATGTTTTTCTGGTACTTTCTATTTACGGGCAAGTGATGCTGGCTTTCCACTGACAGTAGTGATATCAAGTATGCTTTTAAAATATACTCAAGACAGTAAGCTGGCTTCAAGGACAACGTTAGTAACAGAGAAGGGGGAGGGCAGACATGGGCCATTGTGAAGGTGGCGTCCCGCCAGGGAGGCGAGTGTGGGAAGGAGCTTTGAGCCGGGGATGCCCTACCGCCTGCCCTGTGGGAGAGGGAAGCAGCAGGCTCAGGCTGGGGTCTCCATCACCCACCCCAGAGGCCTCCCATGCACTCCTGCTCTTCCCTCTACATGGTCCCGGGGCAAGACCAAAACCCTTTCTACCCAGAGAAGAAGGAGCGTGCTTCGCAAAGTGGGAGGTCTGAGGCCCTGAGACGACAGAAGGTCCGGGAGCCGGGCCTGGGAGTGAGGCCTGCCTGGGCTGGGTTTCAGCTCTGCCACACCTTCGCCATGTCCTCTCTGAGCCCCAAGTCCCCTGTCTACACACGGGGTCATAACAAGGTTGATCTCCCAGGGCTGCCTGAGCCTTAAAGGGCTTCGCCCAGCGCTGGGCACATAGGAAGCCTTGATAAACTGCAGCTGCATGATGATGGCGATTACCGCCACCATTATTACCGTCATGACAGAGTCAGAGAGGAACAACAGGGAGGCAAGAGCCGCGGGGGATAGAAGCAGATTGTGTTTACCTGGTAAGAGGTGCTGGACTTTACAAGTTGGGGTGCGGGTGTTGGGGTGGAGAGAGACTGATTGGGAGGCATTGAGAAAGATGGATGGAAACCGGCCCCTCCTAGCCGGGCGCTGAATCCCAGCCATGCGAGGCAGTGCCAAGTGGGAGGTCCTGGGCCCCTGGGATTGGAGAGCGGCCACGCTTGCTGCGCACGGCTGAGCCCTGGGGAGGACACCCGAGTTCTGCATCCTGAGCTGGGACGGGGAGAGGGCCGGCGGCTGACCCGGGGCTCTGGCCCTCGTGCTGGCCCCTGTCCCCTTGCCAGCTGCCCTGGCCCCTGGGGGAGGCTGGGGCTTGGGTCAGCGACTGCAGTCCCAGCCCTCACAGGAGGCCCTGGGTCACACGCAAGCCCCCTCCTGGCAGGCCAGGTAAACAGGATGGATGCCTGGGTCAGCCGCTCCCTCCCTAGGTCTCTCCCTCCCACTCATTCCCTGGGGGCGGCTGGCCCAGCTGGCCTGGCTGGCCCGCCTAGCTCCGGCTCCACACCCAAGAGCAGCCTAAATGCTAATGAGATGCCCTGATGACCACTCTCAGGGTCGAGGCCACTTCCTTCCCTGAAGCCTGGGGTCCCCACCGAGGGCGGGCTGACAGCGCCCAGGCTCTCTGTGGGCTAGAGGGTGTGGAAGAGTGTGAAGGCAGTCACCTTTAGGGGACAGTATGGGAGGGGAGAGAGGGGGGAGAGACAAGGGCCGACAGAAACTGAGTGAGAAAGGCCAAGACAGGGCAGCTGTCTCTCATTCTCATGCCCCTGACCCAGGCTGGCTTACGCCTAGGGTGGGTCTCATTCTTCTGGGTTCCCTACCCTTGTCCCCTGGTGGGGTCCTGCCTGTGATTCCTCACTCCTAAGTCCCCTCCACCGTGCTGCCTCAGATGCCTTCACCCCCACCCTGCACCCCAAATTCCTGGGGTTGGGAAATCGGAACATTTTTGCACCTGTCTCATCCCGTTTAACCCTCTCTTCCTGATGCTGGGCTCCCTCTCTGTTTCAACACAAGAGTGTCACACTCGCAATTACGGCTCATTACCCAGTTAGACGCTGACCCTGAGTCACTGGGGGAGGGACTCCAGGCTGCCCAGCCCTGCCCCCTTCTCCAAGCTGCAGTATAAGGAGTAGTGGCAGGAGGACTCTGGGAAGACAGGGGAGTCTGGGAAAGGAGAGAGAAGGCAGCACACCTGCAGGGAGGGAGAACGAGAAGTCAGAAGGAAGAAGAAGACCGAGGAGGGCACGCAGAGGAAGAGAAAGGGCAAGGAGAAGTAAAGTTGGGTGGGAAGAAGACACCCAGAAGAGAGAGGAGCGAGGCAGAGATGAAGTTACAGGGGTCGCTGGCCTGCCTCCTGCTGGCCCTGTGCCTGGGCAGTGGGGACGCTGGCCCGTTGCCGAGTGGAGAGGAGGACGCTGCAGCAGGTGCTGGGGAGGCCTTCGGACACCAGGTAGGAGAAGTCATTGAACACGAGGTGGGAAGTGCCATTAGCCACGGAATCGAGGAGGCCAATGGGCACAGAATTAAGGAGGCCGTGAGCCAAGGGGCTGGAGAGGCAGGCAGCTCTGGAGCCAGGGAGGCCATGAGCCCTGGGATGGGGGATGCTTTTGGCCATGGGGTTGGGGGGGGCCATCCACCATGGGGATGGGACGCAGCCCATGCTCTAGGGAACCCCAGGAGTGAGGCTGGCAGAGAGGCTGGGAATATCACTTGACCTGGAATAGATGCTGCCCCCATCTCCTGGCAGGGGATGCCCGGCAGTATCGGTGCCCTGGTGAGTGGCTGGGAGCCTGTGTGGAAACGGGAGGCTGTGGTCAGCTGGGTGCAGAATTGGGAATCAGCTGAAAGGCTGAAATAGTGTGGTATTTGTGGCTGTCTGGGGCAGTTAGTTTCCTCCCACGTTGTGCATCCTGCCTGCACCACCTCGGGGCCTCTCTCCACCCACCTCTCCCTGCGTCCTGCTCTGGCTCTCTCTATCTTAGTTGCTCTGCCCGCCCTCTCCCATCGCAGAGTGAGACAGCCACACACACTAAGCGCAGGCATCTTGTTTTTGCAGGAAACCAATGGCCAGCCTCCGTCCGGAGGCCACGGCATCTCTGGCTCTCAGGGTGACCTCGGAAGCCATGGCCAGGGCAATCCTGGAAGTCCAGGTACTCCCAGGGGCCATGGACACTCTGGAGGCTCAGATGGCAGCTTTGGAACCAACTCTCAGGGAGGCTCCTGGGGTCATGGAGGCAATGGAGGGTCATCCAACTTGGAGACCAACGCTCAGGTAAAATAACCACCTGGCCTGATGCCTGGCCCCTCTCTCCCTTCAAGCCCACACTCTCCACGCCTCCCTCATCCTTCTGGACGTCCACATTCAGTCTCATCCTCTCTGCAGGGAGCTGTGGCTCTGCCCGGTTACGGCTCACTGAGAGGTAGCAACCCACATATAGAGGTAAGAGGAGTCTGGGGCGGAAGAGGGTGTCTGGGTGCATGTGAGAGAAAGTGGGAGAGACAGACTGGCTAGGGAGGAGACAGGCCTGGGGAGGGGCTGGGGAGAGGGGGGAAATGAACCACGGATGGGGAGCAACACGTTGGGAAAGAAAGCCTAGCCACAGGAAGCAGGAGAGCCTGGCCTGTGACGAGGGCTTGACTGAAGTCTGGAAACTCACCTGTCCCCTTCCCTCCACAGTGCACCAACCCCCCGCCATCTGGCTCAGGTGGAAGCTCTGGCTCCTCAGGGGTAAGAGGAAGGGGTGACCTGTGGCCTCCTGCACAGGGAGAGAACAGGGACTCCGCTTCCCACAGACGGGGCAGGTTCAAGGAGAGGGAGGGAGGTAATTTCGGCGTTCCCATCTTTAGTCCTCACTCTGGTCTCTTCTTGCCCCTCAGGGAAGCAGCGGCAGCAGGGGCGGCAGCAGTAGTGGCAGCAGCGGCAGCAGTGGCAGTAGCAGTGGTGGCAGCAGTGGCAGTAATGGCAGAGGCAGCAGTGGCGGTGGCAGCAGTGGTGGTGGCAGCAGCGGTGGCGGCAGCAGCAGTGGCAGCAGCGGCGGCAGCGGCAGTGGCAGCAGTGGCGGCAGCGGCAGCAGTGGCAGCAGTGGTGGCAGCGGCAGCAGTGGCCGCGGCGGCGGCAGCAGTGGCGGCAGTGGCGGCAGTGGCGGCAGCAGCGGTGGCAGCAGCAGCGGTGGCAGCAGTGGCAGCAGTGGCGGCAGCAGTGGCGGCAGCGGTGGCAGCAGTGGCGGCAGCGGTGGCAGCAGTGGTGGCAGCAGCGATGGCAGTTCTGGGACCAGTCGGGTGAGTTCTGCTCCTCTGTTGAAGGCAGAGATGGGGCTGAGGCCCCCGGTGGTCCCTGCTGGGCAGATGCAGTCCAAGGTCTTCCTGAAAGTGGCCAGCCCCGGGGTGGATGGCATCCCTGGCAGCTGTCACCTTGGGAGTCCTGCTTCTGTTGCCCACCTTCCCAGCCCCACCACGAGGTGTCCTTACACCTGCACTCCACTGTTGCAGAGGAAGCGCCTTGCCTGGCTCTGCGCACTCCGTCCTCTCATCTCTACTCCTCACAGCCAGATATTCTGTCTCCCGTCTAACCACTTCTGTAGTCGTATCCACTGGCAAATCTGACTAGAGCAGGGGGTGGCGGAGGGAAGAAGAGAGAGGGCACAGAGAAACATGACACTTGTGTGGGAAGTTCCCAGGAGAATCGGGCAGGCTTGCACACGTGGAGACTTAGGGACATTTACAGAGCTGTGGTGTAGACGAACTAATAAATACGGTGTACACACCAGGCCCCTATGAGATGGGCGAGAGGGCCAGCAGGGGTCCACAACCTGGCAGCCCGATCAGGGTGGAGCTCCAAGAAAGCAGCCTGCGGAGAGGAGCACGTGGCTTCCTCAGCGGTCTGGGAAAGGTATCAGGCCAGAGGAGGGAAGGAACTAGAACAAGCCAGATAACACAAGCTGTTTTAATTTACTGCTCTTTGTACGACCCGCTTTCCCCCCCAGCTAGGACCGACCCTTAGAAAATTCTAGGAATTTTGATCAAAGCAGCTACCCAGGCTCTTGGTGAAGGATTCTAGGGGTACCTTCCCCTTTCTAGGTTCCAAGACAGGGTGTGGGGTAAGGCGAGGCAGGAGGAGGGCAGAATGAGCCCCAGGAGCCAGGGTCATGGCTCTGATGAAGTTACGCCCGAGGCCCTCCCACCCTGGCAGGCGGTGGGGAAGAGCGGTGGGGGCTGGGGGGCAGCAGCTCAGAGTCCCCAGACCATCCCGTGTTTCCAAATGCACTGGGCCACACCCGGCCTTCTCTGTGCTCCAAATAACTTTTCTCAGTGACCGACTGGCTACAGATGGGAAGGTAGGGAGGTTGGGGAGAGAGGGTTAAAAAATCATAACAGTGCTTGGAACTATTTGACCCCTCCCAAGTCTCCTTAAGACCCCACGTGGACTCTCACTTGCCCTTGCAGGACTACAGTGCAGGCTCTTCCTCGGAGAGCAGCGGCGGAAGTGGAGGTGGAAATAAACCCGAGGTGAGTGTCTGGCTAGCGCACCCCTGCGCTGATCTCTCTCCAACTGTGGGAGGAAAATGAGGGGCCTTGAGGCCTGTCGGATGATGGGGGAGAGACAACTGGCTGGGGCTGAGAATGTGGGGGGACCGCCCCTGCTGCAGTGGGTGGGGCGGACCTGGCTCCCCTGGGGTGAAATGCTGCAATCTGGAGGCTAGAATTGCCGTCTGGGTGGGGACAGAGAGGAACGCTTCTCTTTCTCCCTCCCATAGTGTGACAACCCAGGGAACAACGAAGTGCACGTGTCCGGGGGATCCGGGGTTCAGGTGAGAGCCAAACTCGGGGTGACTGCATTCATCACTGCAGCAGCACCCCCTCCTCGTACTCCAACTCTGCTCAGCCCCACTCCTAGCGCTATCTCCATCCCAGCCCCGTCTGTGGGAAATTTACAGTGCAGGGGGAAGAAACCAAAGGCACCTCCTAAAAATACTACCCATCTGCAAAGGAATCATTCATCGCAAGTCTCACATCATATCCCTCACTTTATACCACAGGTGGGCCGCGGAAGATCGTAGGGAAACCAGTCCTTTTAGAAACACCATCCTTTCAAATGTCCTGCATCCAGCCAGTAAACACAATTTGGTGACCCCTTCGACAGAGTTTTGAAACAGTGTTTTGAACGTGTACATTTCCCTCCTAGTTACTCTGGAAATCTGGGCTTTCTGTCAGACGCACAGTGCTGACAGAGAGAGCGCTATGCTCAGGTCCGCAGGAATCTAAGGGTCTGGTGAAAACGTAGGTTCTGATTCAGCAGGTCTCGGGTGGGGCCAAGAATCTGGTTTGTAACCGGCTCCTGGGTGAGGCTGGCGCTGCTGGGCTGGGCGCTCCTCCCGCAGGGCGAGGAGCGCGGCCCGAAGGGGAGAAGGTGGCAGTGGGGGGTGCCACCTTGAGAAGGCTCTCTGAAGAGTTCCTCAAATGTTAGGGACACTAACCTTTTATGGCTGGACAGGTTTTAAGAAAACTTTTCCCAGTTTGTAAGTCTATTTCCAGTTTTTTTACATACCAAAGTCTTAAATATGTAGTGAGGAGAAAAACAGACAAAGATAACAGAATGGTCGAAGGGATATGTTTAAAAGCCATACTTAAGAAGGCAGTGTTGAGAAGTGGGAACGTAGTTAGAAGTTAGAAGATGGGGGTTCAAATGTCTCACTCGTCATCTGTGTGTCTCCAGGCAAGGCAGTTGCCCTCTCTGAGCCTGGGCTTCCCCTTGGGTAAAACAGGGACAGAAGCCTAACTTGCTCACCTCCCCCAGTTCTGCAGAGCTTTCTGCATCGTAACCAGACCAAGGTGGTTCAGAGCGTAGACACTGGAGTCTGACATGGAGACAGATGCGGAGGCAAGCTGGCAGCTCTAGGTTTCCGTTTCCTTGTCTGTAAAATGGAGACATCTCCACACAGGAATGTGGCAGGGTACGGCACAGAGCTCGGCACATAGTAGGACTACACATTAGCTACCAGCAGTGTTTTAGGGGCAGGGTATGGGAGGAAGCAAGAATATAAATACGATTCAAGGGACGGGGTAGGGTTAGTCTAGGAAGAAAGTGGTGAGCCATCCCAGGAAGGCTTTCTGGAGGTGGGGTCTTAGGTGCTGTGTAAACAAGAGGAGAAGGTGTCTCTACAGAGAGTACACAGAGCTTGAGCAGAGGCAGAGACGAGTGGGCTGGGGGCAGGTTGATAGGCAGCATGCGTGACACGATGCAGGAGCCCTGAACATCAGTCCCTCTCTTCCCCTCCCAGAGGCAAGGGCCCAGCGGAGGAGGTGAAGCTGTCAGCGGAACTGATCCGCTGGTGAGTGGAGGCATCACCCCACCTGGGGCGGGGACCACGGTGTCCAGCAATGCCCGCGTCCCCGCCTGACACCCGTACCCCCTGCCACCACCGCACGCTCTCAAAGTGGGTTCTTACTCTCACCCCATTTCTCATCGGTTCCTTAGAACTCTCAGACGCCTCCTGGGCTCTTCAACTTCGACACTTTCTGGAAGGTGAGTTCTCAAGAGTACGCTGCTCACATTCTTTTGGAAAACCAAGTCCCTGCCCCCTGGCCCCACAGGCTGAAGCCCTCTTTCTATGATGACCGTCAGCGGTGGCCCTTGACCTCTCGTCCTGAGGCCCTGAACCAATTACGTTATGACCCAATTCAGCCATTCTCCTTCTTTTCTCTGCAGAATTTTAAGTCCAAGCTGGGTTTCATTAACTGGGATGCCATAAACAAGGTAAGGGCGGGCAGGTGGTGCCATCCTGATCTTTGTGGGCGAGGGACTGAGAGAAGCAAGTAAACCTCTGCTCGGTGAGCCAGGCAAACAGTGACGATGCCACTAAGAGAGCATTTAGGCCAGTGCTAAAAAAAGATAAAACCAAGGAGGAAGGACAGCAGAGACCTAGAAAGAGAGGGAGAATTTGGAAAGAGCTGGGAGTGGGGGCTGAGAGCAAGGAGGGGCCTCTTTCAATCTCAACACGCAGACCAGAGTGTCTGAAGCTCACTTTCCGCTTGGAGGCCTGCAGGTTAAGGGGAGAGTAAGTAGGCCTAACCCTCGGGAAACCAGAGAGGGGGCAGAGGCCAGGGTGGGGGACGGACTGAGTAGTCAGCTGCAGCTAGCAGGCCACACGAGGACTGACCCCGGGAGAGAAGGGAAGGGAAGTGAAGATCTGCCGAGTGCCTGATGGGCGCCAGGCGTTAGTCTGGGCCCCGCGCGTACCGTGCCTGATGGGCGCCAGGCGTTAGTCTGGGCCCCGCGCGTACCTCATCTTAGCAGACAGCTGGGGCCCAGAACCCCTTCCTCCTTCCTCCCTGCCCGCCCCTTCCTCTTGCGGGGGACCCCTTGGCCAGGCTGATGTGACACCAGAGTAGCAGAGGTACCTCCGGAGTCGAAGGCGGACTGGAAGGAGGGGGGGAAGGGCAGACAGACGACCCAGACAAAGACCAAGGCAGAAGCGGCAACTGGTGGCCCTCTGATGGGCTTTTTTGATTCATTCTTTTTTGTTGAACACTATGAATTGGTTGACAAAGTTCAAAAATTGAGAGACTCACATGACTTGGATTTCTGGCTTCTCTTGGAAAATGTGGCAACACTGGGCCCCCCTTTCCACGGGGCTACTACAGACTAGTGCCGAGTAGGGCTGCTGCTAGCCACGGGGTGCTTGCTCTCCAGCCGCCACACTCCCCCTGCCCATCAGGGTCATTTTAGCCACCAACTGGCCCCGTGAGCAGCTGAGTTTCTGAGCCTTAACGTAAGAGAATGAAGACCAGCATCCCTGTTGTCCAAAACTTGCGAGGGAAACGGGGTGGTGGTAGGCGGGGAGGCAAAGAGACAGCCCAAACCTCAGGAGAGTCAGTGTGCCCTTCTGGAGATGAGGCGGGGAGTGAAAGCCAGGAGATGCAGAGGTCCCCGCTGCCCCGGGTTCTGGCTTGGTGAACTAAATGAACACAGTAGACTGTTTCTGTGGCATACAGAACTGTATACAATTACTGCAGACCACGGGGAGGCCAGGTCCCGGAGCATGGGGAACTGGGGGTGTGACGGCAGAGCTAGACACTGGCCAGAGGGCCAGCACAGGCAGCCACATGTTTTTGTACATCTAGGGATCAGGAAAGCAAGTGTTCACAGTGAGGCAGGATTCATTGGGGGTGGCTTCCCAGAGGAGCAGATCTAGGAAATGGAGCAGGAAGGAGATGGGCAGAGAAGAGAATGGAGAGCCCACCCCCAGCTCCTTCACAGTGGGGGAGGGAGCTGAGGACTTCGGCCAGAGTGAGGAGTGACCACAGCGGGGCCAAAACCTAACATTCTTGGCAAGTATGGGGGTTTTCAAACCCATGTCAAAATATCTGGATTTGACTGGATGACAGCCGTGGGCAAAAAGGTCCCTGCAGACTCCTGGAGCAGGGGTCCAGTCCACCCTTGCCTTGGGCCCCCACTCCCTGAATTCCTGTCCCTGAGCTCCCCCTGAGGACTTATCTCTTTGCCCAGGACCAGAGGAGCTTTCGCACCCCATGACCTTCAGACAAGGAGCTACCAGATGGATGGGACCCCCACCCCTCCTTAAAACACCACTATCTCACCTCTAATCCCAGCCCTTGCCCTTGAAATAAATAGCTGCCCACACTCCTGGTCTCTGCTCCTTTCTTCCGTCTCCACTGCTGGTCCAGGGTGGTTGAAGGGGTGACTTCAGCCCGTAGCTTTGGGAAACAGGGGGAAGGGGGCCTGGCAGGGGAAGGCGGGAAGCTCTGGAGGTTTTGCTACAGTTAGGTTCTGCCCGAGGCTGGGAGACGGGGCTGGAGGACGCTGTGCACGCGCTGGGGCAGGGAGGGCTGGTCAGTGGCTCCAGAGATCTAGCCTCTCTCTCCCTTTATTTCCAAAAACAGTGTTCCGGTGTCCCCAAAGACACCCAGCTTCCCCCCAAACCTTAGTCGCAGGGAAATTTCTGGAGGCTGAGCAATGGTGGCAGCAGGAGTAGGGGCTTAGGTGAGCAGGGGGTCCGGCTCCCCACTAACCTGATCCCCACCTTTCATCCACAGGACCACACTCAGCCCCCCAGCACTCGAGCCCTCCTCTACTTCAGCAGACTCTGGGAGGTAGGAGAAGTCTCATTTTCTGAAGAACTGGGGATCCTGGTCATCCCATCCCTCTCCACAGCTCCCTCAAGGCAGCCACCCTCAGCTCTAGCCTACCTGTCACAAGATCTCCCCTCTTTTCATTTTTGAGACGAGTGATCTCACCCAAATCTCATTCCCAATACCATCTCAAATTTTACGCCCTCCACTTCCTGTATGCTCATCTTCATCTAACCTCAAACCACACCCGGGCTCCAAAGCCCATTCTTGCCCGTGACCTTGAATCTTTCCCAACAAGCTGCCACACTCGACCCTCTGGATTCTGTCTCCCTGTGGTCCACCATCTCTCCTTCTCCCTCCAGAATTTCAAACACAACACTCCCTTCCTGAACTGGAAAGCAATCACTGAGGTAAGGCGGCAGAACCTCTCGTTTCGGGGTCAGCAAGCTTAGCTCACGTCCCTGCCCGCGGCAATGGCGTGCAGATTCCATCCCACTTCCTGGCCCTGCCTGCTGGGGGATCGTGCCTCCCTCCCTTCCCACTTCCCTCCTTCATGCAACGCTAAGCGCTAAGCGGAGGTGGGGTGGGAGAGAGAAGCTGTGAGTCACTGAAGAAGGACAGAGTGGGAGGGCCTCCCTAGGATAAAAACCAAGGCCGAGGTTGGGGCCTTCACAGGCACAGGAACATGAAGGTGGCCACGGTCTCCGCTCTGCTGCTGTTCCTGCTGGCCTTGGCCTGGCTCGGGGGGAGCCACAGCTGGGTGGGTACCACACGGTGAGCAGATGGAGGGGACCAGGAGGCGGGGAAGAGGGAGGGACCCGCAGCTGGGGTCAACTCTCAGGCCTGGAAAGGGGGCACTGGGAGGAAAGCTGAAGGGAAACAGGAGGGCAGTGTGAACGGGGGTGGGAGTCAGGTCACCGTCAAGGGCAGGCGGTCACAGCGGCTCTGAATATCTGGGTTCTGGGAAAGATGGACAGGACCTCTGGGTCCTGCAGAAGGCCCCATGGCCAGTGGCCTTTGGAAACCGGGCCCCTTGGGCACTGAGGCAGGGTTGCCCACTCACTCGTCCACGTGGGCCAGGCATGTGAGGCTGGACAGGTGGGGCCATGCACAGGTGGAGGTCCAGGCCCTCCAGCTGAGTGTTGTCATGCGCTCATGCAGGACCAGTATGGCCATGTCATCTGATTCTTTAGGAAAAGCTAGAAATCTGATTTTTAATGGTTTGCAACTGATTTAATGAAACAATGCAGACTGAGCAAAAAATGTCTGGAGGCCTGTGGTCAACCAGTTTGTGACCTCAGTGTCAGGGCTACTAGTGGGGTTAAAATTGAAGGCCAGGTATGGGGAAGGTGGAGAGCTCAGTCAGAGTTAGAAAGAACATCCCGGCGCTGTGAGTGGGCGGGGGTGGGGGGCGCCTAGTGGAGAAGCCATGATGGTGGGATCACAACGTTTTTTCTCCTACTCTTAGACTTTTCTCCTTGCCTTGATGGGGGAGAGGGTTGGTGGCAAGTGCCTCTGCGGTGCGTCTTAGGTGGCTTCATCTGCTTTCTTGTATTTCTCCCCTTTGACCCAGAGCTATCCTAACGCACTACACTTTGCCTCTGCGGGTAACATCCACCCTTCCCAGGCCCCTGCAGAGAACAGCATTGTGAACAGGGACTGAAGGGCCTATGAGGGGAGCAGGGTTGAACGTCACAAAGGTGGGCTGGGGCGGAGGCACCTGCGTCTGCCCCGGGAGCCTGTGTGGGTGCCGCTCTGGTGTCATTCCAGCTGCATCTCAGGCCAGCCTGTCAACGCTCCAGGTGCACGGGTGGGGGTGGTGTCACCCAACCTGTTCTCTGCCCTCACTCCCCGACGCCGAGTGTGGAAATCTGTCCTCTACCTATCTAGGCTATCAGTTTACTCCAGGCTCACCGCCTTCTCTGGAGGTAGCACGTATCACAGACCACTGAGAGGGCTGGGGAGGGGTGGGTGCCACCCTGGTGGTCCAAAATGAGGGCAGAGCCCAGGCAGCGAGCCTGGTCAGGCCTGAAGTGCCACGGGGACACCCTAACCACAGCTCCCTCTCCCGTCCAGGGTGCCGATGCGACCTCGCTCCAGAAGAGGGCAGATGGTGCTGGCCAGGTGAGTCTCTCTGCTCTCAGATGGCCCTTGAAGGCTCTTGGTCCCTCTGTCTTGTGCCGGGTCTGGCCAATCTGAAATTCTCTCTCCTTCACCCCCGACTCTGTAGTTTTCCCAGCCTGGCTCAGGACGGCAAGACGTGGTAGCTGTAACTTCTAAGGTAAGATACCTGTCACCCGGCCACCCACTTTAGACCTCACCTCTCTCCTTGGTCTCCTTCCCTCACCTCCCAGGCAACACTGAGGAGTTGGGAGAGGTGCCCAGGGAAGGAGGAGGCAGGGCCATTTGGACTAGGCCCATACAGCGAGGGGAGGGTGCGGGCTCTGACTGGCGAAGGAGGAGACCCAAGGAGGAGAGAAGGCAGGGGCTCTGAGAAGGGGCCAGCCAGGGCAGGAGGTGGGGGGTTTATTCCAGAGCAAAATGCCTCCTCCCTTCTCTCCTGCCCCCACCACCCACTACCCCCCTGCTTTCTTCCGCAGAACAATTATAACCAGCAAGCATATCCTACTGTCCCTGGTGGGCAGTATGCCAAGACCCCTGCCAAGGTAAGACTTGTCACTGCCCTGTTTCCCCCGGCCCTGGGGTCTGCACGGAATGGGGGGCAAGGGAGGGAGCCTTCACTGCCAGGGTCCTCTGCGCAGGTCAGCTGAGGCCGAGTCCTGTTCACTTTGAAAGGCAGGCCTCTCCCCTCTTTGTAGGGAGACTGGGGCTCCCCGACGGTAGTCTGGAAATGGAGGGGAGGGTTCAAGGCATTTCACACCCACCCACTCAGAAAAGGTGACAAGGGAGCAGTGGCCACATCACTTGCCACGGAGAATACTAGGAACCAACAACCTCTCACGAGGAATATACGGCACCAAAAACATCACAGGACACATGGCAAATGGCCTTCCTTCACAGTGGCCCTCTCCGTCTCGCTAACTGCTCACCTTTCGGGGGCAGGAGGGCACGCTAGCAGTTACAGGAAGCTGGCCCGGGAACTCCTGGCTGGTGGGAAAAGAAATGCTTCCTTCCCCAAAGGAAATAACAGGAAAAACATTTGAGGATTTGTCTTGTTCAGTTGCAAAGAAGGCAATCTTATAAATTCAGTAAACGAATGTGCTGAATATTAATGAGGCTGTCGAAGAAGACGGGGCGCTATTTCCCTCCATCTCTCAGAACAATAGAGTGCCGCCCTCGAGGGAGGAGTGAGGGAGGGCTTCCACTGAGAGATCAGAAAGGATTCGCTGACTGAAAGGAGGTAAGATGCAGTTAATACACCTACGAGTGTCCTCTCGCCAATCATCTGTGGCCAACGTCTATCCACCCAGCAGCAGAGGGAGACTAACCTGCCCTCCTTCACTCGCCTTGGTCAGTGTGTGCTCAGGGACCACATTCGGTATCATCTTGGGTAAAATGTACTTAGGATGATAAATCTGCTGTGAAAAAAATACCACGGGCTGAATGTCTGCAGCCCTACCAAAGGGCTTTTGGGATAATCCTGGTCTGAGCCTGACCCTGCCACTGGGGCCTCCTGAGACCTGAGGCCGTGGCAGAGTGCAGAGAGGTCACTGGAGCCCCCACATCACCTCTCTGATCTTCTCTTTACAGGGAGGAGTCACGATTTCTTCCTCGGTAAGTATTGGGGCAAGAAAATCCTGCTCGTGAGAGAAGGGGTCTGAGGCCAGAGGGCATGCAGGGGACAGTGCCATGTCCACTCAGACATTCTCCTTGTCCCGCAGGCTTCCCGGGTGCAACCTGGCCTGCTGCAGTGGGTGAAGTTTTGGTGGTGAGTGTCGCAGTGAGCTGCGCAAAGCTGAGGCACCCAGGAGCTGAGGCACATCACCCAGGGGAGGGCTGGCGTCTTGACGTTTCCTTTGCCCTGGGTGATGCTCTCAAGGTATTAAGGGGGAGGAGACCCCAGTGTGGAGAAAGACTCACAGGAAAATGATGGAGGACACTCGTAAAGCACGCTCTGGGTGCTGGGTGAAGGCCCAACAGAGGAGGGACCACGCAGAGGCAGCTGAGGAGGAGAAGGATGGCGCACTACGCTAAGGAGAGGGGACAGGATAGGAACCCTACGAGGGGACAGGATAGGAACCCTACGGGGGAACTGGAGAGAGGCGCGCCTTTCAGGAGTAAAGACTCATGGGCAGGAGGAAGGCAGTCGCCAGTGGGGACAAGGCGATAGGTTAACCTGGCAGAACCACAAAATTCACCTCAGGGACGAGCAAAAGCAAGCCGAGCCGCAGCCGAAATGGGTGGGACACGGAGGAGCCACGGGGGCGCAGGAGCTGGGCGAAAGGACGCTGGCCTCAACAGATTTGGGAGTGGCCACATTCTACCACTTGCTCTTCTCTTTTCTTCTAGAAAACTACCTCCAGTCATGGCTGAGGCCCTGGGAAGCATCAGTCGTCAAGGAGCCACCTGCACCCCTGCCCCAGCCTCCCCGTGCCCGGCCTGGGCTGGGTGCTGACACCTGCTTCGTCTAGGTCAGGGACCTGGTCTGCGTGTCCCTTGTTTCTTCCCACCCCACTGTGTCATCTCCTGACCACCAGCCTCATCAGATACACCAGCCACTTTCTTTATCTACTCCATTTTGTGACCTCAAGTCACTGTGACATTCTTCAGAGGAGCTTCCTACTTTGGAGTTTCTCTGTGGAAATAAAAGTGAATCTTGTTTCCCCTCAAATTTTATTCTTTAATACTATGCTGATGGCCTGGATCAGGGAGGATGGAAGAGCGATTTAGGGCAGATAGTTTGCCTTCCTCCTGAGAGTGGGATACAAAATGCAGGGTGGAGAGAGAAGACCTGGGGGTCCTGACGAGAAGTAGGCTAGCTGATCCCCCCACGCCTGTTTCTCCATCTGTGAAAAACCATCTTTGCCCAGCCTACATCTGAACACCATGCCTTCTGCACTCGAAGTAGTCATAGGTGCTCTAGTCGCCTGAAAAAGCCACAGGGGAGCTACTCAGATCAGGAGGCGGGAGCAAGGAGGCTGTTCAGAGAGACCAGTTCCAGAGGGCTGGGGAGCGGGCGGGGACCAGGAGCGAGGGGCTGGGAAAGAACATGCTTCAGCCTCATAACGGAAGGTGGGTGAGGGTACCGTTGGGTTGCTGTGTTCACGAAGCTCGGGGGAGTGGCCCATACTCAGCGCCTTACCACGTGCAGCAGCTCTGTGTCTCCAGGATGCAGAGGGGTGGTGGAACACTTCCACTCCATTAATGCAGCAACAAAACAGGCAGAGGTTCTGGGCTCAGGCTGAGCCCAGGCTGATCACAAGCCGAGGAGCCCTGTGGACAGGGCCGGAGAGTCTGCATTAGCCTCTGAGCCAAAGTCCGATCCGGCCTGTACGGTGTGCCCAAATTCAGGAGCCCCACCACGCCTCCCTGACATCCCTGCAGGGACCCTGAAGTAAAAGGAGGGCATGAAGCAGCCGGCGAGCCGAAGTGTCTCCCTCTGAGATCGCAAGTTCCTTGAGGGCACGACCCCGGTCTGCCTTGGTCATTGCTCCATCCCAGCACTTGGCACAGGGCCTGGCACAGGGTAGGCCTCAAACAGTTGATGAATCAATGAAAGAAACCTGGTCCCAAATGGACTTGGGGAAACCGATTTGATCAAACCTGCCCAACTGGGAGAAAGAGGAGGACGATCCCTTTGCTCTGCATCCTCTTCTCACTTCTGTCCTGAGATTGGGGCTACTGCTTTCTGTCATCCCGGGTTTCAACTGTGTAGAGAGGGCCTTGCAGTACCTCCTCACAGCCATGGGGAGGAGGACACGGCTGGCCCAGGTGGACACTCAGTCCCTCCGGCTGACAGCTGGCTTCCTGGAATGTGGGGGAGGGCTCAGAAACAGGGGCAACTCAGGTCTCCCCGAGCCTGGCCCTGAGGGATTGAGGGAGAAGCTGAGGTGGTCAACAAGATTCTAGACTCTTGGGGTGTTCCTGGTCCAAAGGCAGAGAGCAGCCCTCTAAAGTTTAAAGTACCACGTGAAGCAGGCCAAGGCCCTCTGGTGTGAAGGACTCTAAGAAAAGGGCGGGCCCCCCACCTTTCTCCTGCCTCGGCCTCTGAAGCAGCTTCCCAACCTCCTGACTTTCATTTTTTCCCTAAAATCCATTCTCCCATGACAGCCAGGGAGGATCCTCAGTTCAGAATCCTCCACGAGCTTTTCATTAGCTCTAGAATAAAACTCCAACTCCTCGCCGTGGCTCAGGGTGACCTGGCTCTGGCCTCCCTCTCCAAGTCATGCGGCCCTGCTGGGACAGGCTCTCGAGGACACGGCTGGTACCTGCCCCCGGAACTCGGTCTCCAGAAGGCTGCAGCTCTCACTGCTTAGGTCTCCGTTCGAATGCGCCTCCCCAGCCCGATGAACCGAGGCTACCTCCCCCCTCACTATCACAGCACTCTGTTCCCTTGTCTTACACAATTTGTCATTCTCTGAGATGATCTGGTTCCTAAGTGTCTGTTAGATTACCATCTGTCTCCTCCGCTGGAACATAAGTTCCCCGGGGCAGGTACCTCGTCCATCCTCAATTCCCAGCACCAGGAGCCAAAGTGGCAGTTCAATAAATATTTGTCAATTAGAGAATGGAGGGAGGGGTCAGAACAAAGTGGGCTCAAACCAGGAAGTCTTCCTGGGAGAAGTTTAAGGAAAGGGTACTCAGAGACAGAGGGTGGGCAGCAAAGGAAGAAATCAGACCTGCTGGGCGACGTGGCTGCCTCCTTGGGTGTGATGACTACACCAACAGAGGGAGGAAAGGATGGGGCAGGATGCCTTGTGCTCTGCCCCCCAATACCCCACACCGCAGCCCTCTTTCTCTCCAAGGAGTCTGGGCTCTTCACCGGGGTGTTCACAAGTCCCCAAGGTCCCAGTGTGCAAGCCTTTAAACCCCCCATTCCCCATCTGAGCCCAGGAGGTTGGCTCCCAGCCCCCAGGTGTGTCTGTAATGTAGCAATCAGGGCTGGGCCTCGACTCCTGCCCACACTCAAGTGCTGGCAGATTTGGGGTGGGGTGGGGGCAGGCCTGAGGGGGAACAGGGCTTCACTGGTATTCTCAGAGAGAGCGGGGAGATCAAGCAGACTTGGGGATGGGCTGATGCAGAGCCAGGCTCTGTGACTGCTGGACTCCATGAACCCTCTGCAATGCAGCCCAAGCAAAGATGAATCCAGGCGCGTTCTCCTGCCCCCATTACCGACTGCTGGGACGCTCTCCTAGTGAGAGTCGCCCTACCTCTCTCTTCCCTCCATGCCCAACATTGGACACTGGACACTCAGGGAACACAAACTCACTGAGGCGGTACAGATGGCGGAAGGGGGCCTGGAGAGAGACACTGGATGCTAAAGTTAGCGCAGACAGCATAAGTTGTGGAAAGCTGAAATGACCCTTGAAAGCCCATCAGGAAGATGCTGAACAGACACACATCCTAAGTCCCGCACAGCTTTCTCCAGCATTAGAACAGAATTTCTTTGGTTGTGCATGTGAAGTAGTTGGCTTGTATTCAGAGGCATTATACAAAAGTACCTATCTTGAAACACTAGAACCTTAAACACTAGAACTAGAACACTGCTTTAAACACATACTTGGTGTGCAAGATGCTCATCCTAGAAGAGGCATCTGGAAACTGAGGCAATTGCAGGTTCATTCTAGGGCATATGCTCGTTGAGTGCCATTAATCTCTCAGTTCTCTGTTTTCATTTTGCCAAGAGTGTACAGTTTAATTCATTAAAATTAATGCACATATGCTCGGAGCTGCCACCTATGGCCATAGAAGTCACACACCACAAAAGGACACCTGGTTATGGGGGCTGATGGGGACTAAATGCAGCCTGCCCCCCAACTCTCGGGGCCTGGGTCTAATGGACACCAAGTGCTACGTGGGCTGGCCGGGGCCCTCTGTGGGACACTACTCCACAGCACAGCAAAGGAGCAATACAGGTGCAGGCTCTGGAATCCTGGGGTTCCAATGCTGGCCTTGCTACACACTGGCACTGTGACCTTGGCTAAGTTATTTAACCTCTATAGGCTGTGGTTCTCCGGTCTATAGAATGTGGATAATTACAGCACCTACCTCACAGAATCCCTGATATTTCAATGAGCTCATGCACTTAGAGCACTTAGCACAAGGCCTGCCACATAGGAAGACATCAATAAATTGGCTAACATTATTATTAGCGGCATTAGCATTAGGTGGAGAGGAAAACATAGGGAAGTCATTTTGTTGCAAAAGAATTCTGCAGCCAAACTGAAGACGGTGTTTGCATTGCCCACGCCACATCAGCATGTCTAATTGGAGTAGATTATAGAATATCAGTTCTCCTTTGTTGAGTCTTCACTTCTTCTGCTCCTGAACTTGACCCTATGCTGACAGAAGGGTGGTTAATGAGCTCCTTCAGTCACTGTTAATTAACTGGTAAGAATCACTACACATAAAAACTTGTGTCCTGCAGAAAAGCTTGGGGAGGTGCACCACCCACCTCAGTCATTTTCTCACTCATCCCCTCCAGGAGCACCAACTGCACATGAGGTCCATGCGACATGGTCATCTGTGTTTACCGAGTGTTCCTCATGCACTGTCTCCTCAGGGAGCTCTGCAAAGGGGAGATGCCATTGTCAAAACAGAGGAGGCTTCCTGAGGATAAAGAGGGGCAGAACGTCAGGGACTGGGGTGCGGTGGCAGCAGCAGAACTGAACTGAAATGCCAGCTTCTGGGGTTCATAAAGACTGTTCACATCTAGCCCTCCACCCTTGGCCTGCCACCTCTGTGCATTGCATCAGGTTCAGGTGAAGAGGCCCACTCTTGAACAAGGGCTTGCTTTGTCCCGGCAGCACCAGTCCGTGTCCCAGCACCTCCCTATTACACCATGAACCGGTTGGGCCACCTGAACCTCACTGCGGAGAAGGCTGCTTGATTAGAATGTTTTGTCACTTTGAGGTAATACAACTCCCCACTGGAGGGGTGGGCTGGGGGGCATGATAAGCTCAATGAAATGGAGCAGCACTCAAAGTTCTGGACCTCGATCCCGTCTCCAGTTGGGTATCTCTAAGACCTGTTTTTGCTTTTTTGTGTTTCTCTATTCCTTGTCTTCTTAGCTCAAGGCAGTCTTGTCTCTGAAGACCCAAGAGCAAAAGATGGGGAGCTGGATAATGGGAGGGGTCCAGACCCAAAGGAGGAAAGGGTACAACTTGGTGGAAGGATGCTTGAAATCTAACATGTCCAATCTATCAAATGTTGGCTCCACCTGCACTCTGCGTAAGGCACGGTGCTAGGGGATAGAAAGGTGATTAAGATACAGTTCCTGACCTCAAGGAACTTAATACTCTATGAGGGAAATAACAGAAGAACAATGGTACAATGCTGGAGAGATATGAATGAACTGCGATAGCAATTTCAAGAAGGGAAAGGTGTGTGCGTGGGGGGGGCAGAGGAATGGGGGATGATGCGAGAAATCAAAGAAGCTTCATCCAAGATGGATGTTGGGTTCTGAGAACTGGAGATGAGAGAAGGGCATCCGAGGAATAAAGAATAGCATGGGCAGAGGCTTAGAGGAGGACAAGGAAGGCTATGTTTGGTAAGGAGTCCAATTTGGCTAGAATGTGAGGGATGTAAAACAAGAGGGAGTAAAACAAGAAAAAGTTAGAAAGGCAGGTTGAGGCCACAGTGTGGAAGTCCTTCAGTGCCAGTCTAGGGAGCTGAGACAGAATTGGGTAGGGTGGAAAAAGGCCCGAATTATAAGAGAAGAATGAAGTATATAAAGAAAAGAGACAAAGACAAAAGGAGAGGTTCCTTGGGTGCCACTGCTAATCCCTTGGAGGGACAGGTCCAACCTGTCTCCATCCCAGCTCCATTTGCATCAAGAACCTCATTGCTTACTTTCCTAGTGCCTGGAGCAGAATGTGAATTGAGAAATCCGAAGTGGGGAACAGTCCACTCCCCACCCCAGAGCCTCAGGGGTGGGCAACAGGATCTGGGGGTGAGTCAGCGGGGTGGGGATCCCATTTCTGTTCACATCCTCCTCCTTGGGAATATAAACGGCAAGTGGTGAGGCCCCGCCTCAGAGCACCCCAACTTGACACCATGAAGATCCCAGCTCTTCCCGCAGTGGCTCTCCTCTCTCTTCTGGCATTCCACTCTGCTCAGGGGGCCTCCCTGGGTAGTTCTGAGGTGAGCACATCACCTGGGTTCTCTTGCTCTTACATCTATTGCCTCACTTCCTCTTCAATTTCTTTACCTTCTATCCGTTACTGGATAAGTGGCTCTTAGTTTTGGATATTATCAGGGGCTGAATGAGAAGCTGGGGCTCTGAGGAAGGGAAAAGAGGAGGAAGGAAGGGAAGCACTCCTGGGAAGACATGTAGGGATGGAGATGCTGATATTTCTGGAAGGGATGGTGAAGTAGGGGATGGAGGCTAGACAACTGAGTCCTGGGAGGAGACAGGGACGGAGGTTGGTTGTCTGGGTTCAGTCTCACCTTTGTTTCCATTGTTTCCCTGGGAATGGCTTCTGGGCGACTGGAAGCTCCCTGCTCTCTCTGGAGCCCAGCATAGCAAGAATCCTTATGGGCCAGTCTCCAGCCTGGAGGCATCCCGAGGCCCCTCTCTCCCCTCTTATCCCAAGGTGGGGGACAAGCAATGTCCATGCTGGATTTAAAAGTCTAAGATGGGGTCACAGACTCAATTGCTTAGGATCCAAGCAAGTGAAGTCAATGAGCAGGAGGTCCGGTAGGGCCTCAGGGTGGGTGGCGGGAACTTGCCCATCTAAAGGGGGTGGTCTTTATTCCATCCGACTGCTGCTCCGGGGAAAATGTATAGCGTGGCCAGAGTTTTAAAATTTTCAGGAGAAATTAGAAATCTGATTTATAAATTCCTCCTAATTAAAAATGTTTAATTCAAATTAAAAAACAAACAAGCCAAACTACTATGAGATCTAAACATTGGGGTCTAGCCTGGAGGCTACTTGTTTGTGACTTCTGCTGTGGGAAGGAAGGAATAAGGGACAAAGACTGGGCAGCTGAGGTTGGGAGAGCGACAAGATGGGGTGTGCTGAGGTCGGAGGAGCTACCAAACAGAGGAGGGACATGGAGACTCCGAGCTCGGTGGCAATAAAGTCACAAAGCAAACCAGCTTGCATCAATTAAAGGCAGGCAGGGCACCTCCGCTGCTTGGCTCCCACCTGCATGCTAATCCCCCCACAAACCCCAGCTCCAGGGGCTAGGCCTGCGTGTCTCAGGGACACCCCAGTCACTGCAGAGCCACACCAGCTCCTTTTTCTCAGGAGAAGTCCTCTTTCTCCTCCCTCTCTGGCTGCTGCCTACAGTGGATGCAGGCCTGGGTTTTCACCTCTGTCCTACACATGCCACTCTCAGGCACGGGCCTGTGCAGGGAGGCAGAGCTGGCTGAGAGGGTTCGGGGAGAGGGACTTGCCATCATGTGATCATCTGGCTCCTTTCTCCCCTCACTCTCCAGGAAGAAACCACCATTGGGAATTATGCGGCAGGACCTGAGGTAAACAACCTGTCTTCCCCCACTCCGGAGAGGAGTCTGTCCCCTATCTCTCCATGCTCCTTAGTCACTTTCTTAACACCTTGCTTCTCTGCCTAGGCCTTTAACACTCAGTTCCTGAACATCGACAAGTTGCGAGCTGTAAGTACACTTCTCTGGTGTGGCCCCCACAAATGTCCACAAATCTCCTATCCCAAGGGGAATTGATGCCTCCATAGAGAGCTTACAAAGCTGCCATGGTCCTTGCACCTCTTCCGGAGGGCTAGGGACTCAGCTCTGTCTTCCCCAGAACTTACCCTCTCTGGGTGTCTCTCTCCCCGCAGGCTTTCAAGCCCGAGGAGTTCCTGAACTGGCACGCTCTCGTCGAGGTAAGGGCTTGGGCACCCTTCACCCGCTCCGCAGTCTTTCCAGGGTAGTGGCAACATATTCGAGCTCTAGCCCTTGTGGTTCCTTCCGGAATTTCGGGAGAAAGTATCTGCCCTGCTTGGATGCTGCCCACTATGTTGTCAACAGAAGGAAGTTTCCCCAGAAGGCTGTCATGGCTATACCCTATTTGCCTAACACGGCAGTGGGGGTGCAGGACCACAAAGACAATTCCAGAAAAGGAAGAACTTCATCAGTCAAGAGTTTATTTGAATCCTCACATCCCCTATGGAGAAACTGAGGCCCTCAGTTGGGCGGTCCACCCAAACTCAGGAGGCTAGGTCAGTGACAGAGCAGGGTGAGAGCCCGCACTGCACGACTCTGCACACACTCGCCCTGTGCCGTCAGGCACATGTCTTCAGTTCTCTGAGCCTCAGTTTCCTCATCTGTGATGTGGGGATGATGACAGTATGTACCCCGAAAGGTTTCTGTGAAGACCAAATGGAATCATGCCTGTAGAGCAGTTAGTACAAGGCAGACACAGAATACGGGCTCAGGAAACATCCGTTCTTTCTGTGATCATAAGATACTAACGTCATAGCCGCTATGAGAGCTCATTAGTGAGTGCTCGCCGTGCCGTGCTCCCCCGACCTGTCACAGTGCTCTTGTTCTCTTTCTCTATTGTAGTCTATCAAAAGGAAACTGCCTTTCCTCAACTGGGATGCCTTTCCTAAGGTAAGAGGTGGTGGGCATTAGGAGGATTTGGAGGTTGGGGGCAAGGAAAGAAGCAGAGGGTCTGGGAGGGAGAGTGGGGACACTGAAAGGAGGATAAACCTTCTTTCCACCAAAACTCAGGGAAATCTCAGCTACTCTATCTAGAGGAAGATGGGAACTTAGACTGTGGCAGAGATTCCTTTCCATGGTGCCCCGTTCTACCCTGCGCGTCCTTATGGGGGACTCCAGCTCCCTGCACCCGAGGGCCCCAATCTAACCCTCTCTCCCTGCAGCTGAGAGGACTGAGAAATGCAGCTCCTGATGCCCAGTGACCCTTCTCATCAAGACCCAGCACCACCGACACCCCCGGGAGAGGGGGTAGTGTGGGATCTAACCACCAGCCTATGATCACTCTCCTGGCTCAATAACTCCAATAAAATGTTTCCCAACCAAACAGCTCCTGCAGCTGCGTCTCTGTCCTCATCCTACTGGGCTCTAGAAAGGAATTAAGATGGAGTGGGCTCCAAGGCTGCTGGGCAGAAATCTTGAATTCTGAGAGGGTGGTAAGTAGTGAGACAGGAGGAAGTGGGCAGGATGTACAGGCATACCCCGTTTCTGTGCACTTCACTTTATTGCACTTTGCAGATATTGTATTTTTTACAAATTGAAGTTTCATGGCAACCCTGTGTCGAGCAACTCTATTGGCGCCATTTTTCCAACAGCATTTGCTCACTTCGTGTCTCTGTGTCGCGTTTTGGTAATTCTCAGACTATTTCAAACTTTTTCATTATTATTATATTTGTTATGGTGATCCGTGGTCGGTGATCTTTGGTGTTACTATTGTTTGTTTTGGGGTGCCACGAACCACACGCATATAAGACAGGGAACTTAATCAATAAAGGTCGTGTGTGTTCTGTCTGCTCTACCAACTGGCCGTTACCCCGACTCTCTCCCTCTCCTCGGGCCTCCCTATTCCCTGAGACACAAAAATACTGAAGTTAGGCCAATTAATAACCGTACAATGGCCTCTAAGTGTTCAAGTGAGAGGAAGAGTCGCAGGTCTCTCACTTTAAATCAAAAGCTAGAAATGATTAAGCTTAGTGAGGAAGGCACGTCCAAAGCTGAGATAGGCTGAAAGCTGGGCCTCTTGTGCCAAACAGCCAAGTTATGAATGCAAAGGGAAAGTTCTTGAAGGAAATTAAAAGTGCTACTCCAGTGAACACACAAATGATAAAAAAGAGAAACAGCCTTATTGCTGATACGGAGAAAGTTTTAGTGGTCTGGATAGAAGATCAAACCAGTTACAACATTCCCTTAAGCCAAAGCCTAATCCAGAGCAAGGCCCTAACTTTTCAATTCTATGAAGGCTGAGAGAGATGAGGAAGCTGCAGAAGAAAAGTCTGAAGCCAGCAGAGGCTGCTTCATGAGGTTTAAGGAAAGAAGCCATCTCCATAACATAAAAGTGCAAGGTGAAGCAGCAAGTGCTGATTATAGAAGCTGCAGTAAGTTATCCAGAAGATCTAGATAAGATAATTAGTGAAGGTGGCTACACCAAACAACAGATTTTCAATGTAGACAAAACAGTGTTATGTTGGGAGAAGATGCCATCTAGGACTTTCATAGCTAGAGAGGAGAAGTCAACGCCTGGCTTCAAAGCTTCAGAGGACAAGCTGACTCTCTTGTTAGGGGCTCATGCTGTGACTTTAAGTTGAAGCCAACATTCATTTACCATTCCCCAAATCCTAGGGCCCTTAAGAATTATGTGAAATTATGTGAAATCTACTCTGCCTGTGCTCTATAAATGGAACAACAAAGCCTGGATGACAGCACATCTATTTACAACATGGTTTAGTGAATATTTTAAGCCCACTGTTGAGACCTACTGCTCAGAAAAAAAGATTTCTTTCAAAATATTACTGCTCATTGACAACGCATCTGGTCACCCAGGAGCTCTGATGGAGATGAACAGTGAGATTAATGTTGTTTTCATGCCTGCTAGCACAACATCCATTCTGTAGCCCATGGATCAAGAAGCAATTTCGACTTTCAAGTCCTATTATTTAAGAAATACATTTCATAAGGTTATAGTTGCTATAGGTAATGATTCCTCTAAAGGATCTGGGCAAAGTAAATTGAAAACATTCTGGAAAGGATTCACCATTTTAGACGCCATTAAGAACATTTGTGATTCATGGGAAGAGGTAAAAAAAATCAACATTAACAGGAGTTTGGAAGAAGTTGATTCCAACTCTCATGGATGACTTTGAGGGGTTCAAGACTTCAGTGGAGGAAGTAATTGCAGATGTGGTGGAAACAGCAAGAGAACTAGAATTGGAAGTGGAGCCTGAAGATGTGACTGAATTGCTGCCATCTCATGATAAAACTTTTATGGATGACGAGTTGTTTCTTATAGATGAGCAAAGAAAGTGGTTTCTTGAGATGGAATCTACTCCTGGTGAAGATGCTGTGAAGACTGTTGAAATGACGACAAAGGATTAGTTGATAATAAACTCAGTTGATAAAGCAGCAGCAGAGTGTGAGAGGATTGACTCCAATTTTGAAACTTCCACTGTGGGTAAAATGCTATCAAACAGCTTCCCATGTTATGGAGAAATCGTTTGTGAAAGGAAGAATTAACCGATGTGCCAAACTTCATTGCTGTCTTATTTTAAGAAATTGCCACAGCCCCCCAACCTTCAGCAACCATCCCCCTGATCAGTCAGCAGCCATCAACATCGAGGCAAGACCCTCCACCAGCAAAAAGATTATGACTCGCTGAAGGCTCAGATGATGGTTAGCAATTTTTAGTAATAAAGTATTTTTGAATTAAGGTATGTACATTGTTTTTTAGACACAATGCTATTGCACACTTAACAGTAGTACAGTGTAAACATAACTTTTATATGCACTGGGAAACCAAAAAAAATCCACGTGACTTGATTTATTGCAATATTCGCTTTATTGCGCTGGTCTGGAGCTGAACCCGCGATATCTCTAAGGTGTGCCTGTATCGAGAAGGCAAGAGACCCCTGCATCTTAACTCCTTAGTCTTGGCTGACATCCTTGAGGAGGATGAAGCTGTGAGTGGCTCGGTAAGATCCCCAGGAATCAAAGCTGCTCCCTGAACTACTGGCACCCTCCCCTGCCTGCCTTCTGAAAACCTGGTTCCTTTGGTGGTGGCAATTTGGTATAACAGAGCTAGCTGGAATCTAGGCTTGGGACCCAGCTTAAATCATATGAGCCCATCTGAAATCCTTCTTTTTGAAATTAGGTAGATTACAAATAAAGAAAACTAGTGGTGTGACCCTGAGCCTTTCTAAGCCTCCATTTATTTTATCTGTGAAATGAGTGTGGAAATAAACAAGAATGACGATTCTTGTGGCGTTGTTATGAACGTCAAATGAGATAAGGTATGTAAAGCCCCTTGCACAGGGCTGGGCATATGGCAGAGACTTGGCAATTGCTCGTTCCCTCCACTCCCCCAGAGAGCTGCTGCAGTGACTCAGATTCATTATTTACTCACTCACTCACGGATCCATCCAGCCATACATCTGTCCATCCATCCATCCATCCATCCATCCATGCATCCATCCATTGACTGCCAAGGCCTTGAAACATGGAATGGGTTCAGCTACAGTTCCTGCATATGTATTCTGTATGGAATCTCTGTGTATTCTGTGTACCTGCTCTCTGTACTTGAGATGTTAAATTAGTTGGTGTTATTTCTGGTTTCTCTTGAAAACTGGGAAAACCAGAGAACGAGGAATCTGAGATTGGCTTAAATCCAAGTAACAGCTGCCCTCTTACACAGGACATGGTCTCCAGGTCAGTAAAGTTCCACCTGGCAAGTTTCACATATTGACATTGCCTTTTGGCCTTTCTAAGCAACTGAGTTTGCACACTGTGGCCTATAGCTTACTTGAGAAAGTGGACTACAAAGGGAAATTAAACTTACATAGGTGGAGGAAAAACTCCTTTCTACCTTCTTAAGTTCTGTGGCTGGCCTAAGAATTAAACTGACATAGACAGATTATCAGGAGAAAAGTATACAAATTTATTTAATATTTTTTTTTACATGTACACGGGAGTCTTCAGAAGGAAAAGGATGACTCAAAGAAGCCATTAGGCCCAAAAGCTTATATACCTTTTTACACAAAGAACGACAAATTGTGGGGATGTGATAAGACAAAAGGGCTTGGACTAGGAGCAATAAATCATAGGACAGTGACTAGGAAATATATGGAGGAAACTAATGGAAGATAAGGGTTATAGTAGGTTTGTTTGCACGGACTGGAGTCGACTCCCAGTCTCTGCTGATAAGAGTGTTCTTCTCTTCCCGGTGCAGGGAGGGCACCTTTCTCAAGGAAAATTTTATGATCTGCTTTTACGCAGAAAGGGGGAGGTCAGAGAACCCTTCCTGCATCTGCTGTTTCTCAGGTGGCTTCAGCTCAAAATAATCAATATGCCAAAGCAGCATATTTTGGGGTGGCATGTTCTGAACCCCTTTGCTTGGTTCCTGCTTTTGAACAGCTTACAGAGTAGATGAATAAGACACGTAAATGTTGCTTATACCCTTTCTTCTGATTAACTAACAATAATAGACACACACACACACAAATGAGAAGCAACTTATTAATGGGATTGTGGGAGATCAAAATTGGCCACCTCAAAATATGTCTCTTTAGGGCCAACCCCGTGGCTTAGCGGTTAAGTGCGCGCACTCCCCTGCTGGCGTCCCAGGTTCGGAACCCAGGCGCACACCGAGACACTGCTTCTCCGGCATGCTGAGGCCACGTCCCACATACAGCAACTAGAAGGCTGTGCAACTATGACATACAACTATCTACTGGGGCTTTGGGGGAAAAAATAAATAAATAAATAAAATTAAAAAAAAATATGTCTCTTTACCTTGATTATTTTCTCCGAAAGAAACTTTGACCTTCCCCCAAACTTACACCTAAAAACAATAGACTGGGAGGGTCCTTGCTAAGCCCATTCTTATCAAAGTTCTGTTTACCAAACGTTTACATTTATAAGGGAAATCTCCATTTGTAAAGGTATCTTCCTCTCTGTACTGGGAAGAGGAGGATGACCTTATCTCAGGAAATTCTTATCAATGCAGAAGGCGAGGCTGCATAATAACCTTACTGTGCGTTTCTGGTAATCGCCCATAGCTGACTTCCCCACCCCCAACATCCTCCTTTGTCTTTACCTAAACCTATTTAAGATGAGAACCTCTGCCATTTTGTCGAGAAACGCAGTTTCCCTGGTTTCTCCCATGTATACATGTTATTAAACTTTGTTTGATTTTTATCCTGCTATTCGGTCTCATGTCAATTTAATTTGTAGCCCAGCCAGAAAGGACC